GTTTCCATTCTTTTGAACTTAATTCTTTCAATTTGGACACCCCACTCCAATTATGAAAACCCGGTCTTTGGCAATTCAACTTATCATATTAATTGAGATGTTTTCTTTAGAGAATAAGGTCCCAAGATTAAAATAAATCCTATCATAAACCTCTAAGGTATGTGAAGAAACTCAGTTCTGTAGACACCAAAGATTTCTCTTATGATTGTATACATTCTAAAGGAATGTCTCTATTTTTGAAGATAATATATTATTCTTTGAATGCCGTATTCGATCATTTAGATAGGAATCTTTCTAGATATATAGTGGTCCCAAAAAAAAAACCCCATCAAAACACACTTTCTCAACCAAAACAATTCCATCACTACCACATCATCAACAACAATATATCACCACCACAATATCATCACAAACATCAACACTACTACCACTAACATATCATCAACACCAGCATACCACCACTACAATCACAACCAACACACCACCGCCGCCATCACATCATCAACACCGTCATACCACCACCATAACATCTTCACTACCAACACACTAAACACCAACACTATCATCACCACTACTACCATATCATCAATAACAACACACCACCACCTGTACATCATCAACACCAATACATCACCACCCTTACATTATCAAAACTGAAACACCGCCACCACCACATCATCACGACCAAAACACCACTAACCAAAACATCATCAACCTCTAATAGCAACTCATCATACAAAGAAAAGCCACAAACTAATAGCCACCAACATAGATAATGGTTGCAAAGCACAAATAGCCACCCACATAGACAATGGATATAAAACATTAATAGCCACCCACATACCACTAGTCGCAACCTCCAAATATCATAGAAAAGCCACAAAACTCAAACAGCAAGCCAGAAGCAATGCACTGTAAAGAATACTTCATTTCCTTTATAGAAGAAATGCACAAAACTTAACATCATCACCAAAACAACATTGAACTAGAAATCACAAAGACCAAAGGGCCAAAACTGCAAAGAACATAGGACCAAAACTATAAATACCACTAATATCCAAAGTTCATGAAAAAAAATGCAATCGAGCATTATCCATTTTTGAAAGCATAGACTCATTATTTTTCTACAGGATATAGCCACAACCCGAATAGACAAATCTAAACACGACTCAAAGCCACAATCCAAAAAAATTAAAGTGCTTAATGACAAAAGAGAGAGTAAAATATATCAAAGGACAGCAGAGAATAAGAGGAACCAACAAAAAAGGCAATGAAGTTCTTTTCCCACCACGAGAGTGGAGGAGAAATTACTCGAGGTAGAGATGCCAGTAAGGGGAGCAAGGCAGAGGAGGGAATTTACTTAGTAGAGATGTGAGAGAGGAGAAAGGGGACTAGGAGAGGAGAGAAATTACGCAGGGCAGGCATTTTCCCACCGCAAGAGAGAGGAGTTACCTAAAGCAGAGGCACCATGGAGGTGGAGCAGAGTAGAGGAAGAGACACGAGAGAGGAATTGCCCCGGGCAGTGAAGTAATAGCCATACAAAAAAAATGCGGAACACATTTAAGGAAATTGTTAGGATAAGCCGCAGCACCGTGATTTCCGAACAATGATTTTAGTGTTTTCAAAATGCATCACAACAAAAAAGTTGCCCAAAATGCACTCTAAATTAACATTGTTTCAAATTCATTTTTTTCCAATAATTTTTAAGCTTATAAAGCACTTTTTATCTTTTATCTTCTTGCTTTAATGCATTTGGCACAAAAAAAAAGAAAATTAAAAAAACTTATTTAATATTAAATTATTATAAGGCTGACATGAATGACATGACGACAAATCCACCTTTAGAAAATTTTCCAACCTTATTGCTAACTAACAAAATCAATTAATTAACCATCCAATCAATTGCTTATCCTTTTTTTAAAAGAGAATAAAAAAGTGATTATTGTACACACATAGACAATCTCGTTGAATGGTATAGAAGTTCTTTTTTAACTTTTTTCCTTTAACATTTTTAGCATTATGTTATGTTATTTTTTTTCTCATCATTTTTGTATAGACCAAAAATTTTTTTTGAAAAATTAAGTACGATGTCAAAATGGATAATTAATATATTATTGTGTAGCTTTAGCTCTTCCATCAACAACTTTTCAAGGCTATTGTACTAATTCATTAGTGAGTTTTGAATAATATTTTAAAATTATCTTTCTTATATTAGTATAAATAATTAAATATTTTTTTACTAATGAAAGAACTTTAATACCCATTATATTAAGATACTTAGCATTATTGCCAAAATTATAAGTCCAATTCTTAAGTTCAAAATAGCTTAATCTATCTTGTATTTTTATTATAATCAATGCAACATGAATTTTAAAACATCTAGGCATGTTTAGTCAAATACGATTGTATGTGAGATTATAAAACTATCAAGCTTTCTTAGCCTTTATGAGTTTTACCTTACAAGCCTTTTTCCTGATGGTAAAAAACCCTCAAGTTATGGTGCTAATGGAAAGCAAATGCATTGATAGTTTATAGAGATAAAAGAGTAGAAATATGTATTTCTTGAAGAATATTCTAGTACGAAGATAATACATAATAATTTAAACAAATGGAGATAAAATAAGACATGATGCCAACATTTATTGGCATTTTTTTCAAGCAACTTACATCCACTATTAAGTTGTACTGGATGATTTATAATCTCTTCAACTTATTTACAGAATGAGTCATTCTCATGAAGTCAATTATAAAGAGAAGAGATATTAAAAAATATAAAGTAAATTATAGTTAATCCCTCTAGAATGAGAGAAGATAACACCCTTATGAATAGACTATTAAGAGACTTTAAGATAATGAATAAGGAACTAAGGAGATGTTCAAACATGCTCTGATGATGGTGAACACTACCAACTTTCACATGATTTCAAGAAATGTTGCTAATAGCTAGTGAGCCAGATTTGCTTAACCTTCCTAGCCACTTAGCCCTCTAAACCTATCTCTATCATATAAAAATTTATGTGGGCTACTATTTCTTAAGATGTTCCTACTATGTGGCACTATTAGTCAAGTAAGAATTTAATTATGAACCAATATGCTCGAACATGATATCATAGAATTCACAATTATTCTTAGCAATTTGCCAGAACTATTAACAAAGAAATAACAAATGATAATAAATATTATAAGCAAATATTTGTGGGGATGAGGGCCCCAAATGATTCCAAACATGTGAAAATATAAGAATTGTATATTGATGTTATTAGCATGAATAGATCATGGTTTAAAGTTGATTAGTAAAAATAGTACACGAAGGATTGGGAGTTGATAGTGATAATAGTAAGAGAGTAGCCTAATGTCAGCTATCCCTGTAGAATTTATACAATCAGTTTGGCTAAAAGGCTTTCTAAGGATATGAACAAGTTATAAGAATGCACCTCAAAAGATTTGATGATGATCGAGTCAAGAAGATTTTTAAGCTCTCTAAGTGAGTAAGGCTAAGATAATCTTAGGAAATCATACTAAAAAGTAAGAATATGGATAGAGTGCTTGTGGCATATAGATCTCTAATGTTAGCCATGTGTATGACCATGATTAAGAATGAAATTTTTTAGTCTACATTTTCCTCCCATTTTGGAATGTTAAAGAGCTGAGCGAAGTGGGATTTCAAATCATTTAACCTTTGAAATCTATGAAATTATGATTGACCTTAATTATAATAACGTTAAAACATCTTTTATTCTTATTCTTAGTATCTTAGTATATAAAATCGAGTCCTAGTATAGTCTCCTTCATAAGTTTCTTTAGCAAATTTTTCTATGAACTAGGTAGCGAGTAAATCAAATCCAAATTCAGATCAATTAATTTTTTTTTTTAGTTTAAGATGACACAAGTTTGGTTCTGAACCCACTATATAAAATTGAAACATCATCAAGAATCATAAACTAAATAAACTAAGATAAACTTTTTTTAGGACCCAAAGCACTCTAAGACCACTCTTAGGACCTAGGGTGTAAATGAGTCGAGCTTGTGCGAGCCCAAGCTTTGTCCATGTTTGGCTCATTAAAAAATATCATTGTTTGTGTTCGGCTTGCTTATATATCGAGCTCAAAAAACATGTTCGTGTTCGGCTTATTTGCTTACTGAGTCGAACATGAGCTATTCGTGAACAACGAGTCACTTTGATAACCCTAGCCACACAGTCATAGGATGTTAGAGGTAAGTATGAGAATTAAACCTTATTGTTTATATTAAAATATTCATTTAAATATAATTTAGTATAGATTTATTTAATTTTTAAATTATTAATTCTAATTGATTTTAAGTTTTTGTAGCTTTATAGTAAATTAAATTATTTAAAAATGATACTCATCAATTATATATATATATATATATATA